AGTCAAGGCCATTACACACTCTGGATGATATATTTATCATCTTTTCAGTGAAATGCAAATGCATGCAATTTTTTCTATTTCAAAATTATAGACCTTTTTGTTTGTTTCTCTGTATGTTGTTTAAAGAATTTTTCATATATATATGGAGACGACACCATTTGGAGATCTGCAAATTTTGACCTATACTCGGCACTCATGGCCAATGAACAGTGAGGGATCTTTCTCATGCCAGCACCTCCTGCCAGACGGGACCTTAGTTAATACGGTCTCATCCGAAGGATCGGTTTCTGCGTCCCACAGTGGGATTCGAACCTGCGACGTAAGGATCAACTCCTTAATCCATGACTCTAGAGCAGATACTCTTACCACTGCGGCACGTGGGCGACTAGACCTTTTTGAATTTTACACTTATTATATCAGTGACCTTGAACTTGCCTATATGACCTATGTTAAGGTAAAAAATAACCTTTGAACAAATTATGAGCCTCCAGTGATACTCAATGACAAAGATATTCCTGAAAAAGAAAATTGCACTTTTCTGTCAGTGACCTTGAACTTGCCAGAAAGACCTTGGAATTTTGCCACTTCTTCTGCCAGTCTAGTGCTATGTTATCTCAAACCAGTGGATCATAAGCAATCTTTGTTCCAAGTATGAGCTTCCAAAATTATAGCACATACAGTAATCTTACACTTTTCTGTCAGTGACCTTGAACTTACAGGAATAACCTTGGATGAAGGTCGTGGCAAACCCTTTTGACATAAGCAATTTCTGTATCAAGTATGAGCTTCCAGTGACTCTCTAGTACAAATAAATGGGTCGGACAAAACTTTGCTATTTTTTTCAAGTGATGTTGGATACGAATGTGCACAACTTCAGTGCTTCTATTATTTAAACTCGGTAGAATTTCTACTCCAGCTTTTGTAGTCTCGGAGCTTTGTCTGGAAATGAAGCCTCCTAAATTTTCATTTAAAGGGAGATAACCCAAAAGCAGAAATGGATTTTTGAAATGTTTGACAGCATTCTGATAGAGTTTTGTAACGTCTATAAACCCTGCAAAATTGTGCAAAATCCGTTGAGAAATGGGCAAGATATGAGGTCTCAAAGTTGGCGTCTACGAAAAAAAAAGAATAAGTTGACGAGCTTGTTGCAAAGCAACAAATGTCTTCCGTCTAAATCTCAAGGAGAATAGATTGAGATCGAGAGACTTCTACGGTCATATGTGCAAAAATGAGCCATTTACCATTACTCTCGGTGTGACCGGAAGTGAGGTCATTTTGACGACTTTTAATGGTCTCCTTAGCTGCTACTTGTCATTTTGAACAAATTTGCTTCTATGAAGCTATACAAATTCTCAATACTTTCTAAGATATTAGGAAAACACTTTTGGCCCCTCTAGCTCCCTAATGTTAGGGACCAGGCCCTTATTGTTGGTATCCTTTGAAAGATCGTAACATTCTACACAACTTTTGTTCTATATTTTTTCACAAAATATTTATAGGTAAAAAGATTTTATAGAAAAGTGTTAGAAAATTTTAAATTCCCCATAGGACTTTTTTCGGGCCATAGCGAGCGCCGACATGCGGCACTTCCGGTAAAAATGAAATGCGTAATGCATATCTACAGGCATAGGTCTACCATACCTGAAAGTTTCATGTTTCTAACTAAAGCGGTATAAGAGAAAATCTGGGGACAACCCGACCCTTCGAAAACCATTAAATCGGCAATATCTCCAGACCGGTTTTTTAAGGTTCTGAAATTAATTCAAGAAAGTCCATAGAAGATTACAATATTTCAAATGTAAATTTGAGTTGTTTGTGAATTGATTGCAAATATTGAAGACGTCCTTTATTTCCATTTCGGTTCCTTTGATTTTATCAAAATCCTCATCACGGTGTCTGCCACTAAAGAGAATTTTGCTTATTTTGAGGTCCGTGTTTACTCTGCTTCAATTTTGTATCGTTTCATTGGACTTTCGAGATTGAATACTGTTTCGTTATTTTCATATGAATTGTGTAACAATATGTTGTGTAATTTTAGACATTCTGATGTGGACTTAGGACGGCACCCAAGCCTGCTTCTATAATTTGCTTGTAATATTTGCTGTCAAATTCATAGACGCATTTCAGTAAGTACATTCATTTAGATCATCAGGTTGCGATATGAAATTTCTGATTTAGTTTTATTTGCCTGTGTATAAGCTTCATGCACAGGATTAATATCGTGTTTATATGCACATGCTTGGCACACAATATTTGTTGGCATAGTGAGGTTTTTAATTTTGGTGATACAGTCCGTAGTGTCTTAAATGTAGGCTGGTTGATTTTGTACAATAGGGACAAGAATTGAATAGCAGTATTAGCCCACATTCCTTGCTACACCCCCCCCCCCCCAATTAAATTCAGTATTGTTGTCCTTTCATGGGAATAAAGTAAGATTTTGTCTGCCCTGTTTGGCAGTAGTGCTATGCTTACAATTTTGGGGGTCTTGTTACTAAATATCAATCAACTTCTAGCACCCTATCCTGAATCTTTATTTGTTTGATTGTCAGAGGTCCCCAAAGCAGGTAAATGTTTAGGCCATTTCTATTTTCTCGGCCTTCAAGTCTCTCATCGCTAGGTACGTTCACATTCCTCAAGTATTTTGTTAGTAAAACACAAATTCGTCTAGAAAAATAATAGTGTACATATCCGTCAAATCAGTATTAAAAAAACCCCGGAATTAGGGCCATGATTTTGTTGATACCGTTTTATTCAAATCTATGCTATTTCTCTGCAGAAACGGAATGACATGTGAAGAAAACGAACAGTTTTATGCTGAAGAAAGTCCATTGAAACAAGACATTTGTGAGCAGAGTCAACACAGACCTCTGAAAACATCAGATGTGGGGATCAGCTGCCTCTGAGGAGTAAGCAATCCCTGTCGACAGATCACACCCACCGTTTGCCTCTTGTCTTGATCAAGTATAAACGGAGAAATTGTTAATTTGTTGGGAGGAATTAACATACGTACCGATTTGTATCTCGTTCATATCAGTTATGTGTAATGTATAAAATGTCTTCAATTGCAGCATTTAAAGTTCAATATTCATTCAAATGTCATAAATAATGACATTTTCAAAAACCTCTTAACTAAGCACTTTTTGATGTTTAATAATAGTTTCTAAAAATGTTGGGATTTTTAGTTTATTTTGATGTTTTTACGTACATACATACCATTTTATTTATATTACACATTTACAAAGTTCAAGCAATAAAGTGAAAGTATTGGAAAGCCGCCAATTTGAACTCAATCCGACATTAGATAGTTCCTTTTTGAGGCCCCCTAAGTAAAGGTAATAGCTATCATACAGCGTCAAAGTCACGCCGCTGCATAACTACTTGTGCATTAATTGTGCTTAGATTTTATAACCATATCATATATATATATATATATATATATATATATATATATATATATATATATATATATATATATATATATATATATATTCTTGTTAAACCTTTCATACCACAGAATTTAACACGACAAATATATCTTTTTAATCTTGTACATAATGCGCTATATGTGGTGTTAGTGAATATATAACATTAAGATTTAGCTCTTATAGCATGAATCCACATGATTAAAAATTATAACAAACATGTGTTCAAATACATGTACTAGAATTCAGGTTTCTTATATGTTAGAACATTTGAAATTTATTAATTTATGTTAAACAACTGTTCCATGATAAATATTTACTTTTTTCACGAAATTACTGATAGTTCTTCTTTTTATTGTGTTTTACATAAATAAAAACATATTTCAACAGTTCAACCCTCACATGTGGACCAAGTGATTATTGTAAAACTAGAAAAAATCAAAGAGCCATAGCTGCCATACCGACGACATGGCCGACTCAAGAATTTAAAAGGAAATCACCTGTTTCTATTTATAGATATACTGTACCTTTTCAATTCATGAGCAAACTATGTACTATGATTTGAGGACGAGTGTTATATTTTCATAGTTGCAAGTATGTCAAATGACAATCATTTTACTTGTTCAATACTCTAATTCTGAGACAAAAGATTTACGCAGAAAATCAATAAAAATAAAACAATTTGCAAACTTTAATAAAATAGTTAAGGACTGTCTTTTCCCGAGAAACTTTCAAAGTGTAATGTGTATATTATAACTTTCTGAAATTGTGTATATTATAAAACATAATGAAGAAAAACGTAGAAAAGATACACAAAGAAAAAAAACATAAATAGAAAAATGTGGGGCTCGAACTCACAATCACCATATTTACATTCCAGCAATCATACCGCTGCGCCAACGGAGTCAATGATGTCAAGTGAATAAATTTAAGACAGATTGCTAAATCTTAAGATTATATGAGAAGAAAAATTTAATATGTATTTTCATCATTTTCAATATGAAGACCACCTTTAACCAAAATTATCTAAAGGGAATGAAGTACAGACATATCCATATCCAAATAAAATTATTCAAAAGTTGTTTTTTTTTGGTTAAGGGTGGTCTTTGGCAACAGTTTGTCATCGTTCGGTGGATACTTCAATATTTTATATATATTCTATTCAAACTGGATAATTTTTAAATTTATCATATGAGGGAACTATTAACATTTAAATATCATTATTGTGTGATTTGGTTTTACGCATGTATAAACTAAGACTGTAGGACAAAATTTTGGTTAAAAAATGTATTTAAGAAATCACTAGTAGAGTAGGCGAAAATGCCTATCAAATGCGCTATAGCTCTTTTTAGTTAACAACCAACTCATCTAATATCCCAACAAATGTCCCATTATATTTTAGCTGTGAGTGCTTGGTACTTTTGCAAATAGCTTTGAAAAAGAACAGAAACCGTGATCTTTATAATATAATGTTAAAGATAAATTTTACAGCCGCGGAGGCCTCAATATAGCTACATTAATTCCGATTCCAGTAGTGGAAGAATACCCAGATGAGGATTTTCTGCTGAAATATTTTCAGATGACCCATCCTGCAAATCTAAAGGCGGGAACTGTCAAAATGAGAATACACCGTGCCAGAGGGGTCATTACACCCGAGATCATTGTTACGAGGATTCCAAACACAAATGCTGTGTGAAATTCCTTGGTAAGTTTATGCATTTTTCATATTGATTCACAGAATAAATGAAAGGGAATTAATTAATCAAAATATCTTTTAATTGTGTTATTCTTCCTAACGTGGAGAAACAGTTTTGTAATGTACAATTGTGCGTGTCAATTACGTACTTGACCTTTCTGCTTTCGTTTGTATACGATTATCCCCGATCGTTAAACTGTACATAGTATCGAAAATCAGCACAACGTTAGTTTAACGTTCGAAGACCTTTTGGTCATTCTTGCACATCTGCACATTTCTGAGACGATCAAAGCCGTTAGTTGAGTGCTGGTTTTACGGAACATATGCGATAATCGTAAGTTTAGCTGTCCAGAAAGCCTGAAATGTCACCACTTTGGCTTCATTTATGTTACAGAATAAACAGCGGAAGATAACTCTTTTCCCCCAGCTACTACATGCAGTAGTAAAAGTATCGTTTTTGAAAAAAGGGACAGCCAGAAAAAAAAATGACAACTTACCTGAACAATCTTTGATAGGGGAAAGGGGGTGTCCATACTCGAAATTACAATTTCGTGGACAGGGAGGGGTAGTATTTTTACGACAAGTACATTGTTTAATACATTCCCATGGGACGATTTGACTGTAACAAACATTTGGGATGGAACGGGGAGGGGGGGGGGGCAACCATTAAACGAACATTTCCAACTGTAAAATGTTATGTTTGGAAAAAAGTTGGAGGGGAGGGGGGCCCTCCTGATGTTACGTGCCTGTTTTATTAAACTGTGTAAAATATACTTTATTCATTTTATTCAATATGTGTTTGAGAACGATCTCTGTTCTCTGTGAAACACTGATGCTCCCGCAGAGCAACTCATGGCGAAGGTTAAAGTTTCTCAAATGCAAGTCAAACTCCACGTCAGGAGATTAGAATTGACGGTACCCAAAGAAAGGTCTTGTTTCGAGAAATATACCTGTGAAATATGAAAGGCCTAGCACCAAACATTCAAAAGTTATGGCTAAGGTCAAATTTTTTCAAAAGTAGTTCAAACTCCTAGGTCAAGGTCAAAGGGTCAAAGTTGCTGGTATCAAAAGGAAGGTTTTGTCACAAGAAATACACATGTGAAGAATGAAATCGCTAGCACCAACCATTCAAAAGTTAAGGCCAAAGTTAAAGTTGTTTTAAAGTAGGTCAAACTCCTAGTCAAGGTCAAAGTTGTTGGTATCCAAAGGAAGGTCTTGTCACAAGGATTAAATATGTGAAGTATGAAAGCCCTAGCACCAACAATTCAAAAGTCATGGCCAAGGTTAAAATTTTGCAAAACTGGGTCAAACTCCAAGGTCAAGATCAAAGGGTCAAAGTTGCTGGTATCCAAAGGAAGGTCTTGTCACAAGGAATAGACATTTAAATATGAAAGCCCTAGCACCAACCATTCAAAATTTATGGCTAAGGATGAATTTGTGTAAAATGTAATTATTCTGTAAATTCTTGGTTCCAAGCCATGGCTGATATGTATTCTTTATGCCATCATAGTGTATTTTGATAACAGCGCATTGACCACCATCGTTCGCAGTAGACTACTTAGTATTTTGAAGACACGATACCACCCAAACGATCTTACCTCTCTTAACTTTAAAAAATAAGACAGGTCGCTTTTTTTTAGCAGTTCTGATAGCATTTCTTGATTTAAACCAGACCATCAGCTTACGAATGGCAACTAACACTAGAACTTCACTTCGGGATTACAAATTTAATGTGCAATCTCCCGAGGCCAGGAGATGTCAATTATCTTCTCCCTAGGGAGATACACATTATGATTTTAATAGAAAATGACGTTAATGATTACCTTATAACAAAGCTTTATGATAAACCTGATGACTTCAACTTTTCAAGTGTCAACTTCCCTTCCTTATGTAGCAATACATACAAACGTCTTTGGAAAATTTTTAATGCCCGCTCCTTGCATTGAATTTGCGTCACCTTTCCAGTATAGGTCTTACAGTGTTATTTTTGGATTGCACGTTGTGTATAGTAAACATCAGTAGGAATTCATAACATGTTTTAATAGGATTATTATTTTATGAAGCTAACATATACTTTACTTATTACGTTTGTCACTGATTGTCCACAGAAACACCCCCAATAACTTTATGCAAATTTTCGTATACATGTATACAATAAACTCGTCTGTAGTACATGTATTATTATTGTATTTTTCTTTCTTTTTCATGTTAATTAGTATGAAAATTATGTGTATTCTTATCATCATAATTAATGTTTATTAATTGTTCGACTATCCTTTACATATTTCACTCTCTATTTTGTTACTTATGTCTTTGTATGCCTTCTGGGCCCAAAATTGGAAATAAGTACATTACTAACTATATACATTCACAATACAATTTGTTTTCGTCAAAACAAAGCTTTGATTGGTTTACTTGAACCGGGGGTGGGGGGGGGGAGCTAGAAAGGGGGATTATCTCTACACCTCTTAAATGTTGAAAACTACTAAAATTTGTGAATATTAATGCAACATCCTACTTGTTATCATTACTTACTTACAAAATACATATTAGTCTATAGGTTTTGGACTTCTTGGTCATATTCTTAGCCAACTTGAATCAGAAGAGGTTTTAAGAATGGTTTACAGTTAAAACGTTTTGCATAATCTGTTGACTAAGTTCTATGGTTAACTTTACCTGTATTGCTTTATTTACCTATCCAAAGTACTAGTGATTTAGCTATTTAACCATTTTTTTTAAATGGACAGTTTTTTTCAGCATGGATAAAAGTCACACTATGATATATAACATTGCATGAAAAAATTGCTTTTCAAAATGATTTTAAAAAATTTTGTCTCCTTTCGAACATTTGCCATAATATTTTTTAAAATTTTGCATAAGGCTATATACCAGGGGTAATCTCCCTCTCTCCTCTTTCTCCATGTCTTACATCTACTTTGGCCAAAAATTAGAAGGGAATTACAATTTCTTAAATTGTATTTAAAAGGATTTTACACTGTGTAATTAGGGCCTTGCTCTGCGGGTATCCTACAGTGATTAGTATGTCAGTCCGATATCATTAGTCTGTAGCATATTTTCTCTCAACTTGGACCAGTCAGTCTCTAAATTCACCCATAGATTGCCCATAGCAAGGGGATTGCAGTTTACTTAAAAACTCCTCCAATAGCTTTGGTCTGATTTCAGTAAGACTTGGAATAAAAGTAAACTAAACTAATATAGGTTATTTTGTACAGCAGATTTTGATTTTGACAAACTGTGTTTCCATGGTTACTTACTATAGAAATTTCTTTGAAATTCTTTCATATGCTTCTCCTTAAACAGCTATGGTCTGATTTTAAGTCTTGGTGTACAAATAGATATATTATTTTGTATATCGTTTTTTGATTTCAACACATGATGGTTGCCATGGGTACTAAAAAATAGACAATTGCTAAAAATACTTTCTAGACATTACTCGCAAGGATATGTTCTTATTTAAAGAACACACCAGTACTGCTACAGTCTCATCAGAGACTTCTGTTAATTATATTTTAAGTGTTCTATTGGGCAAGTATCTCCTTGGTCATATAAACACTAGGATAAAAAAATTCCGAAACCTTTTGCACATCTACAGTACTAAAGCAACCTCTTTCAAAAGACAATTTCGCTATTGTGTAAAATGTAAGAGAAGTTTTGGAAACCTGGTTTTTGTAGAAAAAATATTATTGTTTGTCTCCTGTTTGGTCCCTAAGGCGAAAATGAAAATTCTGAAAATTTATTGCACAATCACCAGCAATCATCATCCGAAAGATGATTTGGCTAGTACGTAAATTGTAAGAGGAGTTCTAGAAACTAGAGTTCTGTTGAATAAATGCCGTTTTTTGATTCTAATTGAACCCCAGGTTGAAAATGAAAATCTCAAAACCTTATTGCACATCTACAGGTCAACACCAATATCCTTCCAAAATATGACTAGAATACTGCCAAAATTGTATGAGGAGTTCAGAGAGCCATATTTTTTAATTAAAAACTTCCTTTATGGATAACTGATAGGATGATGCTCTGTTTGGTGCGTTATGTGACTTTATATTACATTATCACAACCCAAGCATTAACACAACACATTCAGTAGGAATTAGAATGGTCATTTATTGAGAAAATAAATGACAGAAAGAACAATGTAGCTAAGTAACAATATTACTCAAATCATACAAAAGAGTTGTGAACAATGCCTATATTATCGAAAACAACAAAGATAGTACAATAATGATGACTAAAATGGTTTGACAGTACATTATACAAAACTCTTTAATGTTAAGTTCTTCAACATGTCAAAGATGGGGAAGTTCCCGCCACATATCAAGACAAGAAGCGGTGGTTATATGCTCCATCCATCACCCTTTCATCAATTGAGAAAATAGATAAAATATGTATATGCAACCGACTGATAAAAACAATGTAACAAAATCATGCCTGAACCAGGAGCCATTGACTCCAAGATTCAACTGTACTGTACAATCAGAAAAATATACAGATCATAAAACTTTGAAGAATTAGCTAACAATGTTTCTACTAGTTAATTAATTTTAAAACATATTTACAAAACATCAAATGACGTAGCAAAACTTAGTATGAACCAGGAGCCCCTGACTCCAAGGTTCCACAGTACCACAAAGGTACCGTCACTCACAAATGCTCACGATAACACATACAAAACACATACATGTCCGATACTCAATAATCTGTTGAAAAATGAAAACGACGAGAAATCCTGTTTCCTGGCCTAAGGCATGAATAACTGCTGTCATACAATAATTGCCAGGTGCTTGTATCGTTTGATGTGATTTATTTATAAAGTTAACACTGGAACTCGAATATATTTCTTGAAGGCTGTAGACTTCCATCTTCCCATGTTTTGAATATGGATATCGGTTGCACTTGAATTTGCAACGGCTATAGCCCAATATGAAAACTGTGTGATTGATATAAGTTTGCACCTAACCCACAAAAAGAAATAGATCTGTAAAGAA